TTTTTTTTTTTTTTTTTTTGCACAAGCTGAAGAATATTAATTTATGCCAGACAGGCAAAGACTGCTTCCTATCTTTTTCCACCTTCTCACATGACTTTCCAGTCTGGCTTCCCGTGACTGTTTCTGACCAGTGTATTGTGGCTGCCCCAGTGGAACCAGACCATAGCTTCTGATGGGGACACTTTTGGTTGAATGTGGAGGAAGTGCCTTGTTCCGAACCGATCCTCATGGCCATATGGCATTTTTGGCTGTCCTGCAGCTATAATCTTAAATGACCTTTTGGAGACACATTTTTTAAGCAGTTTTTGTCATATGTGGTTTTGATAAGAGCAGAGATATGAAAAATATTTAAAACTTTATGTAAAAATATTGGGGATGTTTAAGCTTCTGGTCTTATAGCTTTTGTGCCTCTCTCAATCTGAAAGACTGAACTACACACCATTGGTTTAGGTTCAGGCCAAGGACAGCAATCTGAACTTCATTCGTTCATAGTTCACCCTACCAAACTCACTGAACTGTGTGAAATTCAATATTTAATTTTTTTTTTCTTTTTCACCAAGAATCTTAGTTGGCTACTGAGAAGCAGTGTGCTTGCTTGCAAGTTCTGAAACACAGTTTCAGGCAAATTCTGAATTTTTCCGTGTGAAATCTGTCCTATTTTCCAGTGTGGGCTGTATTATTAAACCAAGAATTGCCCTGGGAGGTGAAAGACAGAGCAATTCAAAGAGGTGTCAGAGTGTACCGGCAGCTGATGCTGCGTCCCTGGAGGCCGGCTTTAGTTCGTCATTCACACTTCACCCTTTTTATTCCAAGGTGACTTTTAATTCCGCTCTTATTTTGTGCACGGTAGTCACAACAGCTCACTTCAGATGCTAGCATTATCTCTAAGGGATAGCCGTACATCTGGTTCATGGAACTACATTCTCCCTCTCCACTGGAAAGCTCCACGAAGCCCGCTGCTGCCCACTGCCTTAAATATATCTGTTTCTGATCTCGGCCATTCTGTAGACCCTGACTTACACGTGACCTTGAGTTATTAAAAAGCACAACGAAACAAAAAGCACCCAAAGCCGGCCTTGATTATGTAACACAGCTGGGCACATGGGTCTCAGAGCTGGGAGCAGAAGTCTGCTTTCCACCCTCCTCCATGTCCGAGAGAGTGGGAACCCAGCTTCTGAGCCGTGGGGCTCCCTCTTGACCAGACCTTGAATCCATTTTCAGAGGGATTAGAACACATTCCCAGGCTTCTCTGCCTCCTCTTTCCAGGCTCCTCTCTTTCTCCCGAGATAGAGAGCGCCATCCCTCCCCAAATGCAGCTGCAGAGAATCTGGCCTCCAGCCAGCCTCAGAGATTCAGTCACAGGCAGCCCAGGCGATGATTCATGATCTCATGCTGGCCAAGGCCCAGGGGCACCAGGGATGGAGTAGCCTCTGTGTTTCCAAGTACAAATCATGGTTTCCACATGGGAAGTCACAGCAGATCAGGACCTGGAAGTCACCCAGGCTGTGTACAGCCCCTCCTTTTTCCACTGGCACAGCTGGGCAGTGGTGGTGGTACTGGGGCTGGATCCCAGCAGGGAAATCTGTTTGAAGTCGGCTGTGCCGGCCCATTCACTGCTTGGTCCCCAGCAACTCGCACAGTGGCTGGCACATAGGTGGGGCTCAGGCGAAGGAAAGAACAAGTGTTACACCTCTCCTCCCAGTCAGCCCTGTTACTCTTCCCCTTCTCTTTATATCTAACCGGATCCTCCGAAAACTCTTCTTCCCTCCTGCAGCTCAGGGGAGATACCAGACTGAGGAACACCACACTGCTCCCCTTAGCCATGAAGGCCTCTGGCACCCGGAAACCAGAGCAGGAGGCAGACCCTCAGAAGGGCCCCTGGCTGGAAGGCCGCTGCTTCCCAATGTGGTGCCAGGCTGGGCGTGTGGTGCGCTCACAGGCGCGGTGGGGCTAGCTGCTACGAAGACGTTTCCAATCTCTTGCTGAAGAGAGATCCAGGGTTGGGAATGGTGTCAGGGCAGAGAAAATGCCATGTTTTAGAGATGTAAAGGCTCTTGTCTCAGCTTAGCAGGGCCAGGCGAGTGTCACCTGGGACCTGCTCCCTTATGCCCGGGATCTTGTGAGCTGCTGCAGTTGAGAGAGGACAGATTCAGAAGACAGAAAAACAAAAATAAAAACAAACCAACTTTGCTGTTTCACAGATTGTTGGCTCTCAGCCGAGAAAGGGTATCACCGGACGGACTGAATCCCGGGACGGCGCCTTTGGTCCCGAGGACGGATCGGTCTGGGCTCCAGGGAAATGGCCGCTGGTCGGGACCACCCTGCACCTTGAACACACAACCTTGGGAAACCTTCCCGGGAAAGAGCTGACCGAGAGGAGCGGGGGTGGG